CCTCGTGTAGCTTTGCGCGAAATTCAAAAAACAAACGAAACAGCGAAAGAAGGGCTGTTTTGAATAGTTAATTTTTAACCACCCTGTTTTCTCCAAATAGATATTTATATTATTATTTTGGATCAATTTAGAGTGGAAATTATAAGCCTAATAGTTTTTTTTTTAAATGAGATTTGTTTTATGATAGGCGGATTGGATGCAATTTTTACCATTAGCTTTAGGCAATGATCACGTGCTTCTTCGAGTCTGGCCGAGTCACCGCGTCTGGGAGATGTAAATTAAACAGTTTGGTTGAAATTTTCCGCCGAATAATTTCTGAGTAAAATCTATCCGAATTCAGTTACGCAGCACAGTTGTAGAGCTAAGCCTCTACTTTGCAGACCGTTATGCCTAATATTTTGTGTAGCGTTGTGGCATAATAAGTTAAACCGTTCGCTCCGGATTTGGTGATGAAAGTATAACTAAGGCAATACAAACTTGTTGCATTGTGGCTAAATTGTAAATAGCGTTCTTATGTTTGTTTAAACTGATAAATTTGTTGAATTTAATGACAAAACTTGCTTTTTCTCTTATCGCGGAACTGACGTTATAACTTGTGCACCGGATGTAGATGTAAAAATTCGAAATTAATCTCTCAGACGATTACCGTTTTCGAAAAATTTAAAAGTAATGAAAGATTTCAACATAAAGATATTAGGCCTAACACGAACACGCTGCAAATAACTGTTGGCGCAATGATGATACTATTGACCGCCTGACATCTATGTCGCGATTTGTGAACCCATGGCGAGTGAATCTACCTGATTTGTCATTCGAATGGAGTAGACTTAAAAGGTAATCTTCAAACTGAAGCTAAAGAGGGTAAACGTTTTTAATGTGGTTATCCCATAATTGTTGTTGTTTCCGTGATAGTTTTGGATAATTTGGAACAAAATGTTTTACTTTTAGGCATTTTAGTACCACTAGTACTAATAACTATTAGGCCACTTCTTATTGATAAAATGAAGTAAATATAATTTATCGCATAGGCGACAAAGATTCATAAATTAAAAAAATAGTTACGAAATCATCAAGTATTGTATATATAGATACAAACACACACACACACGTATATATATATATTTAGAGTTAGCGAATTCAACAATTGCGGCCGCAACATTTTGAGCGCTGATTATAAACTTTCTTTGCAAAGCTACATCTTTTACAATTATAACATACAATTCATAAAAATGAAATGAATAAGTAAAAAAGATGAGAAAATACAGATTTTCCTAAAATATACAAAGAACATTTGGACCAACCTAGCATTCAAATGTTAATACCTGTGGTGGGCACAACACAGATAACTGTGTGGCTTTGTGCTTGACAAACAAGTCAACAAATACGACTTTCAACATAAAACAATCACTTACAATGCTATTGAATGTGTAATTTGTAAAAGGTTCAATAGTTTACAGAATGGACAAACAGGCCACTGATTGGGTGATCCAGCACGTGCACATTTAAACCATATTAAACTGCAAAACCATGATACCCCTATAGGCAAACATTTCACCAACACCAGCCATACAGTTGAGGACTTTTTGATTCTGAGGCTTATAGTTAGTTATACGTGATTCAACAGGCATTCAGGAAAGACAACGACTGGTAGTTAGAACTGAAATTAATGTAACGTCCGGGAACCTTACAAACATCTGGTTAAAATGTTGTTTTTTCGCCAGTTTATTGTGATTTGTTGAGGTGTAAGTTATTAAATAGCTGACATTCCACATATTCATAAACAACTGTAAAAATACACATGAAACAACCCTGTTCTTCAGGACTAGAAATAATGAAACAAAATTAGATTCACTTGAGGGACACTATCAGGAAGATTACATTCCCTCATGTAAAGTTGTATTTCCTCATGAATTGGTTTTCTACTTAATCTATACAATAGGTTCACTTTCATTGGAATATGGATGGGCCATGCATTCCTAATCGGCAAAGCCAATTAAAAAGATGAAATTCCTCGAGAATGTAATATTTCGATCCCTGTTCTTTAGTTTTAAAACTCCTAAACATTACTTTTATTACATAAAACGTGTTAAATTTTTATCCTGCTAATATTTAAGTACACACACACACACACAGTAGCCTATTTTAATTTTTTTACAGAAGTGTATTATTGATTATTGATTTATCAATTATAAATCATACGTCTTTATTAATCATGTGTACAAACAGAAAAGTTTATATGTTTGGTTTACCCTACAGCGTGGAGATCTTTGTAAATTGAATATGTTGTTTTCCAGATAGTTTCTCTATGTGAGAAGCTTTAAAACAACAACAGTATCTGCTACATTCCCTTCAAAATAACTAAATCTAGTAACATCAGCAACTGAAAATATGATCAGTGCTAACAAATAACCCACAACAGCTAAGGATCTCATGAAAATGAACCTAGAACTCCTACTTTTTATCTTCCTCAAAATTCACTTGAATTGTGTACTAGTAGAAATAAACACACAGAAAACTGAAACTCGAAAGAATTAATTTCATGTATTGTTTTTGCAAGTTTTGAAAAAATGTGTTACCATTTAAATTTTTGTAGTCTGCAAGAGAAGAATTACTTGGACATGTGATTGGTTGTACTGTATTAATAATGGTAACATTTTTCTAAAATTCAAAGTTAACTTCACATGTTAGTATATTTAATGGTTTGTGCTGGCAAAGCGTGATCTGTGGATTGGTGGTTTGTGTCACATTACATCACAAAAAGGCTGATAATAATTATTATTAAGAACTCGTTCTTTATTGCCCCTTTTATGGGTTTCTGATAAGGAGATAATAGCACACCTACCACACAGTTATAAAAATATGTTGATATTATAGTATTGATTGATGTATATTCTTTTATCTTAGAATTTTGGAATCAGACTCAAAGTCTTTAAATTTGATACACACACACTCCCGAAAATCATCTGATGCTAGTCTAGTCTCTGTTCAGTCTTCCCAAAGTTGTCATGGTATGGCACCAGAGGATGAGCAACTGGAAGAAGATGTTTGGTTTATCTGGGGGAGAATAGTCAATGATTGGGAGAACCACATAAAGAAGAAAAATTTGTTTGTTAAAGTAAGTGATATTGTAACGTTTTCTTGTCTTGTAGCTACTTATAATTAGATGTGTTACTTCGTATTCCATAATACTTTAAAATTACTCCTGTGTATATATAATGTTTTTAAAAGGGAGTGAAATAAAAGTGATTTATTCTCATAATGATGTTATTTTGTATCTCTCTTTACTCGCTGTTTCCTTCCACATTTTTGATCAGAGGTTCGTGAAAATTGGCCATGATAGAGACGCGAATCGTGGAAGTGTTCTAATGGGGTTAAATTTTTGAATTACCTCCTTGATGTAGTAACCCTGGGCTTAATGTTGATAAGTGTTTATTACAAGCCAATAGCAAATATCTAATTGATTTGATATTGAGAGGGAAAGCGATGCATTATGATATAGAAATGGAGATAGTTAGTGTTAGGATATTGGTGTTACTCTTAAGCATGATTGTTGAGAAGAATTGCATATATTATGTTTAATAATGGCTGGAGACTTCTAGAATGGGTAATGAAGAAAAACTTTAATATAAGTTTAACATAACAGCAAATGTACAACGTT